TTAAGGGTGGGTGGGGGATAATTTCAAATTAATTCATTTTATTTTTATAGATGGGCAAGGAGGTTAATAATAAGAGGTGGATGGCCATAACTGGGTGGCAAACCTCAAATGTGGGTGGCCCAGCGCACCTCTGCCCACCATAACCACATCCCTGCTTAACCATGCATGTAAAAACATAAAGTGAATACAGGCTTTGAGACCTGTTAAATGTATTTTGTAGTATCTTTTTTCTCTGTTTTGTACAAGTTGATTAAAATGTGGTACATTATAGTATATGTTGTGTACTGTCTTTTTTGCTGTAGTGCTGTCTTCTATGATTCTACGAAATGAACCACTCACGTCATATCTGGGGCGGATGCAGGACTTGGCGGTAGGGAGTGTGTGAGAGTTCACACAACCTCAGCCCCATCATAGTTGTGGCTGAGGTGAGGAAATTTTGAGAATATGAACCTCTAGATGCCCAGAAGTTGCACTCTCGTACTTAAAAAATCTTCCCGGTACTACACTGTATGTTCATAATGATAAAAATAATATATCAACAATAGAATACAAGTTTTTTTTTTTTTTAAATTACAATTAAGAGGGGTGCGATCGCACCCCCTGCATCCGCCCCAGCTGTCATCATGACCAGACTCTACTGATTTTTCAATCTATTCAGGGATGTAACGATTGTTTTAGGGTCCATGTGTAAAAAGTTATAGCTAACCTAAGAACATTATGAATAATAATTAAGAATATATAATATAATTACATTAAGAATGTGTCCTCATTGCATGACACTAAGGGGCCAATTTCATATTTTTCGTTTGTCCCCTCGTCCCCCTTAATAGGTGTTCCCTATTCAGGAATATCCTTTACGTGGACACTTTATGGGTCCCGAAGGTGTCCCCTCATAATACAGTACTACAGTAATTTTATTTATATTGTCAACAGTGGGGTGTGTTCTAGCTGAGATGTGCACTTTCCTGCATTCTCAGGAGTTGCCGTGTATGGCGATGGGGATTAATGATGAAGACATTCAGGCGGTGGAATAGTTGAGTGGTGGAAGGTATAATGACATAAAAATAAGCCCAACATAAATGTGGCCAGAGCAAGGGCAAAGATCTTTTTTGAAAAGTAGAGTGGGGGGAGGAAGAGAATTCGAAAATTTGAAGAAACAGTACTTCCAGGCGGGCCAGAAATGACACTTTTGTATAGTAAAATTCCGCATCATCACACCACCATCGTAGTGAAGATTGTTATCACAAACTTTTATTAACATTTGTTTTTGGCATAACATCATATTCGTTTTTTCCATTTATACAGTTCATTTCAAACATTTTTCAGGCATATACTTTACAGAGGATCAAAAGGTTCTATGTTGAGGTGGTGCAGTCCAGATAAACGCCTTGGCAAAAAAAAGAAAAAAAAAAGAAGAAGTTGATGTGTAGAGTAATTTGGAGGGGATCAATGGCCCTCCACTGGAAAGTTTTTATTTTATATATGCTTCTTTTGTTTCTGAAGCCATCATCAACAATATATGTTAAACACAACTTTGTTTTCTAGGAAACCGTCAATCATCCCATCTCCCGATTTAATGCAAAAACGTCTAGATTTCAAAGCCCTCTCCTTTCTTATTCACTATCCCTAAGTTATACTCTAAACATTGACCCATCCTCCGCCACTACTTCTGATATTAAGCAAGCAATAATTTAATTTAATTTTAAATACAATTTGATTGGTCCTTTAAAATCCTTTTATTTAATTATTGTGTTATTATCTTGTTGTCTATATTGCTGCTGATAATTGCTCTTGATGGCATTTGTAGCAAATAAAATTGAATTGAAAAGTTGAGAATAGCCAAAACAGACCGCAATAATATAGATTAAACAACCACAATAACTTAATGTAAATAATATAATGTATTCTTCTCAGAAAATAAAACATTGGTCCTTGTAAATATATTTAATGTAAAGAATAAATTCTCAAATAAATGAATAAATGAAATTTATCTTCTATATTATCAAGGAACATAAACATTTGAAAAAAGACTAAAATAATAGCCTATGTAGGCCTAAATTAGTAGGCTAATGTTGATTCAAGATTCAAGATAATTATATTGTCTGAAAAATCCAGAAATTACGTTCCACTGGTAGTGTTACAAGCGTTAACAACATACAGTAATAAATATAAAATAACAAGGATATAATTAAGCACCAAATACAAATACAAATTAGTCTAAAGTTATTGCCTGATGTAAGATATAGCTATTCTAGACATCTGTGGGGTATTTTTATTCCATCTGATGGGTATTTAGAAAAAATAATAAATAAATAAATAAAAAGTTTTTCCACCCGCCCCTTTTTTTAAAAAAGAGAACGGCAAACAATTTATTTTATTTGGCCTTATCGTAGAGGACGCTATTAGAAGGGAAATCCCCAAGTAAGTTAAGTTCTTTGGTCAAAGCAAAGATATTAAATAAATAGCTATAAGTTCTTTCGTCAAAGTCTTTGGTTGAGTCGAATAGGGGAAGTAACCATTCATACACTTTCAAAACAACTTGATAGTAAGTAGCTGTACAGTACTTATTTGCACTTGAAGCATTACTATATTCATGTTTCTTCTTAATCGTGACTAGGGCCTAGGCCCTAGGCCTAGTAGTAGTTAGTACGAATACTATACTGTACACACTCCTCCTCCGATCCTAGCTAGGCGGCTAGGTCTAGCTAATGACAAGTGGGCTCTACCACTACATTGTACTAGAGCACTAGGCAGGTCTGTCTTGTTTTCCTCTACCTATGCCTCCTACTTACAGGGGCGGATCCAGAAATGTCCAAAAGGGGGAGCCGGAAGGGGCCCGAAAGTTGGGCTGATTGAGACAACACTGTCGTAGGGGGTCCGGGGCATGGCCCCGCGAAATTTTTGTGTTCTAGACGCCCGAACATAACATTTGAGGCATTCTGGGCTATCATTTTTTTCTTTTTC